GCCCACTGTATGACCGACACTGCTCCGTTACTTTTACTGTTTTATATTTGAGATCGCTTATTTCCCCCGATCAGACACGGAGCGAGGAGGGATGAGGGTACAAGACACGATCTGTAGGAGGCGAAACTACAGGGAATGTCAAACATTAGGAAAAGAGCGCCGGGGACGTCATCTTGAGCGCTCGAAGCGGCTGCACAGAAAAGGTGCTGGGGGCTCAGAATTAAGGCGAGGTGTACACAGGGTCTGATAAAGAAGACAAACTGGACTCGTTTTTGAAAGTTTTATCTTTTATTGAGAAAAGTTCTGAAAAATGTATTTGACTATGAAATTCTAGAAAGTCACCTGATTATTTTACAAGTTGCCGTTAAGTCGAAATGATTCAGTGTTTGTTCATGAAAAACAGTCAACAACAACGTGACGGTGGCAAGCTAAAAGTAGATCTTCTGATAACCTGACCAATCAGTGAGTGACTGATCTGTAAAGTCATATCAGTGAATCTCTTCTGTCTTTAAACGTCTGACAGGTGGAGTCATGAAACACTCAGAGTATCCATGGTAACATAATTCATATTCATGCATTCATATGTGATCTGCAGTTCTTCACGTTTTTAAAAACATGTCTCCTCTTTGATTTCTGTGAGGAGCTGAGACAGTTTGGGACTTTTTATTAAAAAAAAAAAAAAAACTGGGTGGCCATGTTTGTAGTTTTCGTCGACTAAAACGATAAAGGGTTAAAAAAAAAAATGTGACTGAATTTAAAATAGGTGACAAGCGAACAGTGCACTGATTCTGAGGCTTTTATTGTGAAGGTACCAGATTTTAGATTTCACTGATAAATTATTGAAACACCTGCTGTTACCATGGCAACCACCATGTCCTACATGTCATTCTGTCTGATGTCAGGCTGATCATTGGTCCGTGTGGGTGTGCAGTGAGACTGTCTCACACCCTCCCAGCTGTCTGCCACTTTGTTATCATGGAAACACGAGTCACGAGTCATGGAGCAGCAAACAGGAAGCAGCTCAGACAGGAAGTGAGTGACACACTTCTTGATACGAGGCTTCGTGTTTACTCTCCATGTTTGAACCATAGACTGTAAAAATGAGTAAGTTTGAACAAAACGCTGACGTTTGATTCCACCAGCTCGACCTGCGGTGGAACAGTTGCTGTTTCCATGGTTACCACAGACGCCTACCTTTGTACTTAAATTGATGTCTGAAGTTAACCAGTAACCACCTTGTGTGTTTTTACTTCTTCAGAAATAACACACCCGCCTCTCGTCCAATCAGATCGCTTTGTTTTTTACGGCTTTATTTGCTCTTGTTTTTAATCTTCATAAAAGTTTTCAGATTAAAAAATCCAACATGTCATGATGCAGTTACCATGGAAACAGCCGAGATGTGTGTGTGTGTGTTGGGGGGTGTAACAGTAAGCAGAGGAGCAAAGGATTGTGGGATATATTGTGACAGCAGCTGTTTTGTATGAACTTTATTTTACTTTATTTACAGAAACAGGATTTTTAAAATCTGTAAAGTTCACGTCTGACCAGCAGGGGGCGCCGTGTCTCGTGTGAGGTCGTCACTTATTTATTAAAGGTTAAAAACTGTCAGCTCATCAGTTTTTATCTGAAACTCTGTTATCTATTGATTTTGTCTGTTTGTTGATCGGAGCTCCTCAGTGGAGTCCTGATACCTGCGGCGCCCCCTTCAGGACACACCGCCCCTCCCCCGCTGGTTAGACCGGTGGAACTAACACCTCAGAGTCCAGTCCAGCCTGTCTGCAGGTCTCTGCTGGTCCCGGGGGTCCATCCATCTTGGTTCCCGGGTTCAGCTCCGAGGAGTTCCTGGTGGGCTGGATCTTGTTCTGGCTGCTGTCGGATCGCGTCCTCAGGTGGGCGCGGTCACAGAGGCCAGCGAGGCCGCGGCGCAGCTCTTTGCGGATGTTGTCGCTGGACAGGACGTAGAGGATGGGGTTGACGGCGCTGTTGACGGTGGACAGGCCGAGCGAGATGGTGTACGGCGTGTACACGGTGGTCTCGAACAGACAGGTGCCGTCCTCCAGGCGCGGGAAGTGGAAGAGGATGGCGCGCACCAGCAGGATCAGGTGATACGGGGCGAAGCAGACCAGGAAGAGGAACACCACCGCCATCGCCAGCCAGCGCACGCGCTCCTTCTGCTCGCGCCGCAGCCCCGTGCTGCTCTGCACGTTCACCAGGATCCCGCGGTTGGTCGCCACCAGCACGAGCAGCGGGATCAGGAACCCGACCACGAAGCGAGCGTAGTTGAAGCCCGTCACCGTGGCGCTGCTCTGACTCGGCTCGAAGCAGCGGCGTTGGCCCTGCGTGGCTTCCCCCTCCCTCATGGTGAAGACGGGCACGTGGCCGACGGCAACCAGCAGCACCATGGTGACGACGATGAGGAAGGCGTGGCGTCGGCATCGCAGGCCGCGGGACTCCACGCTGTAGACGACGGCGACGTAGCGGTCGCAGGAGACGCAGCAGAGCAGGAAGATGCTGATGTACATGTTGGTGAAGAAGATGTAGCCCGTTAGCTTACACGCCACCGAGCTCCACGGCCAACGTGACCCGCGCTCACGTACAGCGTCCACAGCGGCAGCGTGCACAGGTAGGTGAGGTCGCACAGTGACAGGCTCCACAGGTACACGCCCAGCACGTTGCTCCTGCGCACCTGCAGCCAGGTGAGGTAGAGGGTCAGGAAGTTAGCAGGAAGTCCCACCGCCAGCACGCCGCTGTACAGCAGCATGAGCGGCAGGCGGCCATCGTCGAACGGCTTCTGACACGAAATGGAAGTCGTGTTGGTCAGGACGGGGGCGGTCTCGGTCTCCAACAGCTCATGCATGATGTCTGAAGAGAGAGAGAGAACCAATCAGAGTGAAGATCATCTCTACAGCCTTTGTTTCCTATCTGACAGGAAGTCCCCGCCACAACAGTTTCGCTCGTGTCAGTTTTTCAGCAGTCACATCGGGGACACGTATCTACAGCTCGAGTCTCTTTGATGATTCAGATCGATCATTTCAAAATAAAACGACCTGATTGTTGCTTCAGCATCAAACCTTTGAAATGCTCAGTCCCTGTGATGAAACTGTTTCTGATTGGACGAGAGGTCAGAATCAAAGATATGATTTATTTTCCTGCTTTGATTTTTGTTTTCAAAATAAAGGTCGGTTTCTTCAGACTGATCACAGAGTAGAAATAAAGCTGATAGATGTGAACTTTTATTTTGTAAACTGATTCTGAATGGTGTTGATCATGATGCGTGCTCATTGGCTGAATGATCTGCTTAAATAAACCTTACATAAATAAATAAAGAATCAAAACGCTTCCTGTGTGTTTGTTCTCTGGTTCAGGTTCTTTGTTTTCTCTGCTGCGCTCTGATTGGCTGTCAGCACTCTGATCTCATTTTTCATTGACTCTCCTCAGATCAATAATTTAACAAGTTGTGATGTCATCACTCTCATTGTTAAGATCCGAACAGCTGTCAATCAAACTGACGTCCAATCGGATGAGACTAGTGACTATATTAGTTACTCACACTTACACACACACACACACACACACACACAGTTACACACAGACACACACACACACACAGACACACAGTGTCACACACACACACACACACAGTCACACACACACTTACACACAGACATACACACACACACACACACACACACAGTTACACACAGACACAATCACACACACACACACAGTGTCACACACAGTCACACACACACACACACACACACACACACAGTCACACACACACACACACAGACACACAGTCACACACACACACACACACACAGTTACACACACTTACACACACACACACACACACAGTCACACACACTTACACACAGACACACACACAGTCACACACACACACACACAGTTACACACACTTACACACACACACACACACACAGTCACACACACTCACACACACACACACACACAGTCACACACACACACAGTCACACACACACACACACAGTTACACACACACACACACACACACACACACACACACACAGTCACACACACACACACACACAGTCACACACACACACACACACACACACACAGTTACACACACACACACACACACACAGTCACACACACACACACACACAGTTACACACACACACACACACACACACACACACACACACACACACACACACACACACACAGTTACACACACACACACACACACACACACACACACACAGTTACACACACACACACACACACACACAGTCACACACACACACACACACACACACACAGTTACACACACACACACACACACACACAGTTACACACACACACACACACACAGTTACACACACACACACACACACACAGTCACACACACACACACACACAGTTACACACACACACACACACACACACACCACACACACACACACACACACACACACACACAGTGATGGTAACATCAGGAGAGCAGCTGCTTGTAAACGTTGAAAGAGGAACAAAGATGTTTCCTTTTAAAGAGACGGCGTCCTCTGGGTTAGTGTGTTTCTCTCTGTAGAAGCGTCTCACGTTAACCACAGTCTCTTTTCAGATCCCTGATACACATGACAACGAGACGCTGATGTGCAGAGGCGCTGCTCGGGCCCCAGACCAGAAGGGGGGCCCCTGAGGGATGACAAACTGTAAACCAAAGCAGCGGACCAAAATGTGCTTATTTTGCAACGACAGTAGGAAACCTCCTTGAGGGGGCCCCATCCGACGGCAGTCTAAGCATTGCATCTTTATCACTGTGAAAACCAAAAGATCGTCTGCAGGAGACAAAACAGAACCCCGTCACCTTCCAGATATCATCCAGTCGAATACTGAGTTCTTTATGCAGCGACGGGGAATTAGCTTGACTTAGCGGTTATCGGAGCTAAGAAGATAAAGAAGATAAAGAAGATAAAGAAGATAAAGAAGATAAAGAAGATAAAGGAGCTAAAGAAGATAAAGGAGCTAAAGAAGATAAAGAAGATAAAGAAGATAAAGGAGCTAAAGAAGATAAAGGAGCTAAAGAAGATAAAGGAGATAAAGAAGCTAAAGGAGATAAAGGAGATAAAGAAGATAAAGGAGCTAAAGAAGATAAAGGAGATAAAGAAGATAAAGGAGCTAAAGAAGATAAAGAAGATAAAGAAGATAAAGAAGATAAAGGAGCTAAAGAAGATAAAGGAGATAAAGAAGATAAAGGAGATAAAGAAGATAAAGAAGATAAAGAAGATAAAGGAGCTAAAGAAGATAAAGGAGATAAAGAAGCTAAAGAAGATAAAGAAGATAAAGGAGCTAAAGGAGCTAAAGGAGATAAAGAAGATAAAGGAGCTAAAGAAGATAAAGGAGATAAAGAAGCTAAAGAAGATAAAGAAGATAAAGGAGCTAAAGGAGCTAAAGAAGATAAAGGAGCTAAAGAAGATAAAGGAGATAAAGAAGCTAAAGAAGATAAAGAAGATAAAGGAGCTAAAGAAGCTGAAGAAGATAAAGGAGATAAAGAAGATAAAGGAGATAAAGAAGATAAAGAAGCTAAAGAAGATAAAGAAGATAAAGGAGCTAAAGAAGCTGAAGAAGATAAAGGAGATAAAGAAGATAAAGGAGATAAAGAAGATAAAGGAGATAAAGGAGCTAAAGGAGATAAAGAAGATAAAGGAGCTAAAGAAGATAAAGGAGATAAAGAAGCTAAAGAAGATAAAGAAGATAAAGGAGCTAAAGAAGCTGAAGAAGATAAAGGAGATAAAGAAGATAAAGGAGATAAAGAAGATAAAGAAGATAAAGAAGATAAAGGAGCTAAAGAAGATAAAGGAGCTAAAGAAGATAAAGGAGATAAAGAAGCTAAAGAAGATAAAGAAGATAAAGGAGCTAAAGAAGATAAAGGAGATAAAGAAGCTAAAGAAGATAAAGAAGATAAAGGAGCTAAAGGAGCTAAAGGAGATAAAGAAGATAAAGGAGCTAAAGAAGATAAAGGAGATAAAGAAGCTAAAGAAGATAAAGAAGATAAAGGAGCTAAAGGAGCTAAAGAAGATAAAGAAGATAAAGGAGCTAAAGGAGATAAAGAAGATAAAGGAGATAAAGAAGATAAAGAAGATAAAGGAGATAAAGAAGATAAAGAAGATAAAGGAGCTAAAGAAGATAAAGGAGATAAAGAAGATAAAGGAGATAAAGAAGATAAAGAAGATAAAGGAGCTAAAGAAGATAAAGAAGATAAAGGAGCTAAAGAAGATAAAGAAGATAAAGGAGACAAAGGAGATAAAGAAGATAAAGGAGATAAAGAAGATAAAGAAGATAAAGGAGCTAAAGAAGATAAAGAAGATAAAGGAGCTAAAGAAGATAAAGAAGATAAAGGAGATAAAGAAGACAAAGGAGATAAAGAAGATAAAGGAGATAAAGAAGATAAAGAAGACAAAGGAGATAAAGAAGATAAAGGAGATAAAGAAGATAAAGAAGATAAAGGAGCTAAAGAAGATAAAGGAGCTCTCTCTCTTTCTCTGTGTCTCTCTCTCTCTCTGTCTCTCTCCCTCTCTCCCTCTCTCTCTCTTTGTCTCTCTGTCTCTCTCTCTCTGTCTCTCTCCCTCTCTCTCTGTCTCTCTCTCTCAGTCTCTCTCTCTTTGTCTCTCTCTCTCTGTCTCTCTCTCTGTCTCTCTCTCTCAGTCTCTCTCTCTTTGTCTCTCTGTCTCTCTCTCTCTTTCTCTCTCTCTCTGTCTCTGTCTCTCTCTCTGTCTCTCTCTCTGTCTCTGTCTCTCTCTCTCTCTCTCTCTCTCTCTGTCTCTGTCTCTCTCTCTGTCTCTCTCTCTCTCTCTCTCTCTGTCTCTGTCTCTGTCTCTCTGCAGCTTCTTATATTCTCTCTCTTCATGACTATCAGGGTCAGATTTACAAAGCTCACAATTAAAGAGTACTAAATTGTGTGTTCACTCCAAAAGTTTGCATGTTTGGTTGGTGGGCGTTTCGCAGGAGATCTACTAAGAAAACCTTTTAAGTTAGGTTGTTCTACTGGATATAAATAGATACTCCTACAGAGTAGCAGCAGCTTTAGAGGGAGGAGACGAGCGCATTATGGAGAGGAGCGCACCGCAGGGGGCGAGCTGGAGGAGAGACGCACGACCCGAGAAAAAGGAAATCCCAGTTTAACATATAATGTTGGTGAAAAGAGGGAAACAGGAAGACATAAACGTCAATGTTGAAATTCTATAGAATGCAGAGGCTGTGGATGTTCAGTTTTCTTTGGCAACAACAGCCTGTAGTTTAATCACGGTGTTCCTCTTCCTTAACGATTAGAATATTAAATCAAATTAAAAAATAAATGCATGACATTTATTTTTCTGTCATTTGAAACATGTAAACACGTGGAGAATAACGTGATCTGTATGCCTTCTTTGATTGAGCCTATGTCTCCTCCTAACTTCAATAACAGCAGCCTGTTGTGTGTAACACTGGTCTCCTGGGTTAGCACGTTCTTTTTAAAGGTGTTAAATTCAGACACCGTCACAATCACCAAAGTTTTTGTCAGGCTTGGTAAATCACAATGTGTGTACTAACTTCAGTTCTTTGCATTTTCTCCTCCCAGTGTTTTACACGTTAGGACAGAAACGACCCATATTGAATATTCATTAAGTCAAACGTACTAAATGGACAATGTGTGTTGTTTTGCTCATTTGAAAGATTCAATCTTCACTGCACATTGTTAGTAGATCAGTTAACACTTTGTTTGCTGGTGGGATGAAGTTTACACATGTTTTAATAAACTCAAACCTTTAGTCAATCTGACCCTGAGTGGGGTCGATGTTTGAACCCAGCTGTCACAGGAAGGGAGGTGAAAGAGTTCATTTCCATCCCGGCCCACACAGAGACAGCTGATGGAAGAACGATCCCCGACACTACTGATGAGACGTTCAAAGACCTTAAAGCAGGTCGGCCCACACAGAGTTAACACAGACAACACAGGAAGTTAGTTCTCTCCTTTTCTGTGAAAAGTGTCACTTCACGTTCTTTTACTGAAATAAATACCCACTCTAATCACCAACTCTAAATAAAACCCCTTCACGTCACCCTGAGTCTCCTTCAAAGTCTGTAGGATGTTTCATATATTTAATATTTATAATAAATGAGCTGAGCTCAGGGTTTGAAGTAAATATCAAAGATATTCTCTAATAAAGATGTGACGGTCAGAATTTAATTAGTGCAGAGATTTAATTTAGAATAATATCATTTAATAATATAATTTAATAAATATCATTTAATATAATATCATTTAATATAATATTGTTGATTTGACGATCAAACAGTAAATATTAAATAAGTTATGTCTTCTTTTTATACTAAACATTGATTTCTTTGGTTTTATGAATAAAGTTTTATATTCTATAATGAATAAACTGTATTTGATATATTCTTAAATTGTTAATATTTTCATATTTTCTGATCGATTATTGAAAATAAAGATTTCTACAGAGCACGTGTTAGCTGAATCATTCCTACAGGAACATTTATTACTGATTATTATTCATTTAAGTTTAATATAAAGAAACGCACCGCCGTCTCGCGCATCCTCCGTCTGTCTCCTCGTGCGATCCGACTCTGAATGAAGCGACGTGAAGTGACACGAGGAGAGTAGAGCTGCGGAGGGTCACGTGGACGACAAAACTACAACCGGAGCATCAATAATTCATCCGCCATCTTCAATTGATCACATCCTGAAAACATGAAAAACAAAGAAGAAAAAAACACACCGACCGCAGGTTCACCGGAACCACCGAGAGGACCCTGAACGCATCACACATGGAGAGAGAGAGAGAGGAGAGAGAGGAGAGGAGAGAGGAGGAGAGAGGAGGAGGAGAAAGGAGAGAGGAGAGAGGAGAGGAGAGGAGAGAGAGGAGAGGAGAGAGAGGAGAGAGGAGAGAGGAGAGAGGAGAGAGAGGAGAGAGGAGAGAGAGGAGAGGAGAGAGGAGGAGAGAGGAGAGAGGAGAGAGAGGAGAGAGGAGAGAGAGGAGAGAGGAGAGAGAGGAGAGGAGAGAGGAGAGAGAGGAGAGAGGAGAGAGGAGAGAGGAGAGAGAGGAGAGGAGAGAGGTTGAGTAGAGAGGAGAGAGGAGAGAGAGGAGAGGAGAGAGGCGAGAGGAGAGAGGAGATAGGAGGAGGAGAGAGGAGAGAGGAGAGGAGAGAGGAGAGAGGAGAGAGGTTGAGTAGAGAGGAGAGAGGAGAGAGGAGAGAGGAGAGAGAGAGGAGAGAGGGGGAGTAGAGAGGAGAGAGGAGAGAGGCGAGAGGAGAGAGGAGGAGGAGAGGGGTGAGAGGAGAAGAGAGAGGAGAGAGGAGATAGGAGGAGGAGAGAGGAGAGAGGAGAGAGGAGAGAGGAGATGAGAGGAGAGAGAAAAGAGGAGAGAGGAGATAGGAGGAGGAGAGAGGAGAGAGGAGAGAGGAGAGAGGAGAGAGGAGAAAGGAGAGGAGAGAGGAGAGAGGAGAAAGGAGAGGAGAGAGGAGAGAGGAGAGAGGAGAGAGGAGAAACGTAAACGCAACACTCGGATAGTTCCTCCTTCCTACCAACTACACACCAGACGACCTTGTGTCTGCTCCTGGGAGACCCCGTTTATATGTCATAATTATTTATAAATAAAATAAGCATAAAGCTGCAGTGGCATATTTAAACCACAAGGTGGCACAGCAGACCTCTGAGCCCTCCTCAGACACCACACACCAATCAGAATGCTTGTTCACTGTCAGTTAGTGCCTGATGCTGCGTTTAGGTGCTGCTTGGGTCGTCCGACTTTCATCGTTCTTCAGACTTGGTGTTCAGAAAGTCTGAATGTTGTAAAAGTAAAAACATGGTTAATGTTCTGAAGATCACGTTACATCTCTGATTAAAGTTTTGTGTCAGGTAAAAGTTGATGTGCAATATGTGAATTAATAAAAGTATGTTAACATCATCTAAACAGATTCTTCCCCCAGGTGATGATGAATCCGACGTCCAGTATTTATTCTTTTCTGAGTCTCTTCAGTCTTCGTGTGCGTTTAACTTGAACTTGTTTTTCCGATGTCTCCGACACCTCATGAACGCACCAACAGCAAGGATCAGTGTTCATGATTGAAACATTTTAAAGCGCTCTGACCCTCCTCTCCTTCCCTACCTCCTCCTCTCCTTCTCTACCTCCTCCTCTCTTCCCTACCTCCTCCTCTCCTTCTCTACCCCCTCCTCTCATTCTCTACCTCCTTTCCTTATCTACCTCTCTCCTTAACTCCTTTCCTTAATCAATAACTCGTTATCATTTCACATTTGTTGATAATATTTATTTAACATTCATATTTACAAAACATTTTCAGGATGTCTTTCTGATGAGTCATCAATGACTCGAGAACAATAAGCCCCGCCACTCTGCCTTTGGGGCGGCAGCTCAGTGAGCACTCCCCAGGCTGAAAGCTGATTGGACGTCCCTAATGTCCTTCCTGTGTGACAGTCAGTTCTTCCACCTCATTTGCTGAAAGAGAAGAAAGAACATTCAGTGAGGTCACATGATGATGATGATGGTGATGTCATCATCCTCTTCCTCACCAGGTTGCTGAGCAGCTCGTCAATCTTCCTCTCCTCCACCGACCCTCTCTCAACCTTTCCCCGGTATCCTAGCAACAGCTGTCGGTCCTTCAGGTCTCGGTACGTCTGATTGGCCCATAGAAACATGACATCATTAACACGAGCAGGTGTATTGAGGGCTTATAATTGATCGTCCAATCAGAGAGCTTTATTAATGTGAACACAGGTATGTGCCTCACGTTGATGACGATGTCGTGACATTTATATTTCTGAGCCAAACCGATCCTGACGTCCGCATCATCAACCAACGCCACGTAGTCCTTCAGCACCTGTCAATCATTAAAAATACACCTGTCAATCATTCACCTGTCAATCATTCACCTGTCAATCATACACCTGTCAATCATTCACCTGTCAATCATTCACCTGTCAATCATACACCTGTCAATCATTCACCTGTCAATCAATAAAAATACACCTGTCAATCATTCACCTGTCAATCAATAAAAATACACCTGTCAATCATTCACCTGTCAATCATACACCTGTCAATCATTCACCTGTCAATCATTCATCTGTCAATCATTAAATATACACCTGTCAATCATTCACCTGTCAATCAAATAAAACCCTCTTGTGTCAGATTACTTCCCTTCCCGCATCTTTACATCTCTACTTCCTCCTGTCAATCAAACACCTTGATCATTGGTGGTACTGTTAGCCCCGCCTCCTCACCTGTGTGGGGGCGGAGTTCTTCTGCAGGATGTCAACGACTCGTTGGAAGTTGAGCGGTGATTTCTTCCGGGTGAAGCCGAGCCAGTTCCTGCTCGTGAACAGAGCGTCCACATCCGACCACGCTTTCAGCTTCGCTCGCGCCGACAACGCCGTCACAAAGTACTGCTTCTCTGGAATCTGAGGTCAAAGGTCAACAGGTGTTTGGTAGTCGTTCATAGGTCAGCCTTTGAGTGTTTATACACGTAAACAACACCTGAACAAGTCTCACCTTAAAGGTCTGACGGATGTTCAACGGACTGCTGTACATTCCCTGAGAACAGAAGACAAGCAGAATCAACTAATCTGAATCAATTTATCTGGATCAACTAATCTGGATCAATTTATCTGGATCAACTAATCTGGATCAACTAAACTGGATCAATTAATCTGGATCAATTTATCTGGATCAATTTATCTGGTTCAGATTATCTGGTTAACCTGATCTCATACAGGTTTAGTTAACGTGAGACTGACTCGGGCTCGGTTGTAGTGGTAGAAGCAGCAGTAGTACAGAGTTTGTGATAACGGCATGTTGAGGATTGAAGCTCTTCTGGGAAACTTCTGGAAGATTTCCACCTTCCTCCTCGCTCGGCCTGCCGGTCAGTTGCCTAGCAACACAACAGGAATGAACTGGGTTTTAACTGGAGTGAACTGAGACACTGAATCGCAGAGTCGTATCCATAACCCATCCCCAGAGTCGTTAATAATCAAATCTTTACTTTCACTTACAGACCCTTCTGTTAAAGGAAACTAAAAGAGTTAGAGAGACTTCAGAACTCAGAGCGTGTTTGAGATTAGAGGAAGAATGTGCAGTACACATAAATAAATCCTAAAGTCTGTCCTGTGTAAATGTGTCTCTGAGTCCTGACTGTCTACAATGAGGGAGAAGCTCGAGTCCCGCTGGCTGTGTTGTTGTCAGAGCCGTGTTTACATGGACGGGACGGCCGGCTCCTCCCCTTGTGTATAAAAGCTGTTTTAGTCAAGAACTAGAGAGAAGAAGAAGAACATACTCACTGATTATTTGGATGTTAGTAAGAGTTTTTAGATCACGCTCATTCTGTGTCAGTTTACATGAAATGTGAAGCTACGAGCTAACTAAAGAGCGCTAACATTAGCATGCTAACACAACAATGTGAAGCTACGAGCTAACTCAAGAGCGCTAACATTAGCATGCTAACACAACAATGTGAAGCTATGAGCTAACTAAAGAGCGTTAACATTAGCATGCTAACACAACAATGTGAAGCTACGAGCTAACTAAAGAGCGTTAACATTAGCATGCTAACACAACAATGTAAAGCTACGAGCTATCTAAAGAGCGCTAACATTAGCATGCTAACACAACAATGTAAGCTACGAGCTATCTAAAGAGCGCTAACATTAGCACGCTAACACAACAATGTAACGCTACGAGCTATCTAAGAGCGCTAACATTAGCATGCTAACACAACAATGTGAAGCTACGAGCTACTAAAGAGCGCTAACATTAGCACGCTAACACAACAATGTGAAGCTACGAGCTAACTAAAGAGCGCTAACATTAGCATGCTAACACAAACAACGTGAAGCTACGAGCTGACTAAGAGCGCTAACATTAGCATGCTAACACAAAAATGTGAAGCTACGACTAACTAAAGAGCGCTAACATTAGCATGCTAACACAACAATGTAAAGCTACGAGCTATCTAAAGAGCGCTAACATTAGCATGCTAAACAAAATGTGAAGCTACGAGCTGACTAAAGAGCGCTAACATTAGCACGCTAACACAACAATGTGAAGCTACGAGCTATCTAAAGCGCGCTAACATTAGCACGCTAACACAACAATGTAAGCTACGAGCTATCTAAAGAGCGCTAACATTAGCACGCTAACACAACAATGTGAAGCTACGAGCTAACTAAAGAGCGCTAACATTAGCACGCTAACACAACAATGTGAAGCTACGAGCTAACTAAAGAGTGCTAACATTAGCATGCTA